CCGCTGGCCTGATCGCCACATGCAGCCTGCTGTTCATTTGTTTGGTTGTCCCTCACTAAACCCCCTGCCGGCCTTGCCACCCCACGCAGCCTGCTGTTTGGTTGTCCCTCCAGTTGTTTTGGTTGTGATGGCCCCTGGCTTTTTATATATTAGGATTTATATTTATGTTCTGACTCTTCTTTTTATTTCTCTAAAATGACAGGTGGTGTGCCAGTATTTGAAAAATCCCAATTTATCTGATAAAAAGTTGCTGCAGAATATTTTCCAAGCTCTGAATGTATATTACAATTATTCAGGCCAGGCGAGATGCCTGAATATGTCAGAGACATCAACTAGCAGTCTGGGAACCCTGGGTTGGAGCTATCAGGTAAGTGTGTATAATTTCTCCAAGTGGAACTTACTTTTCATTGATATGGCTGGCTGCAACAGAGTTCACAAGATTTTATCACCTAACCTGGGTCTCAGTGTGGTCTCACTCTGAAGCCATGATAAGTTTCCTCATTCATTCATTCACTCATGTATTTAATCATCGCCAAATATATTCTGCGTACTTATCATCGGTTAGGCACCCTTCTAGGCTCCAAAGATACAAAGATAAGTAAGACATGATCGACCTTACCATCAAATGTAGCTTGTTGAAAAAGAAGTGCAACTAATATTATAATAGGTCTTGATAAGTCCTATAAAGGAAACATTTTATGGACACATAAATGAAGGGGAGTCTAACTTGATTCCTCTGAGATTTTGTTCTTTCATCTGTACAATGAGAATAATAAGAATAAGAATACTTTCCAGAGTTGTTTTGAAGATTCAGTATGATAATAGATGTGAAAAAACAAACAAACCAGTTTACAAAGAAGGAATATATAGCTCTAACTTCTGTGATTTCTCAACTGAGCCTTTCCAGGAGCAATGAGAGGTGTTATGACACAGAGAGGTAAAGAGCAGGAACTCTGAAGCCAGACTGCCTGAGTTCAAACTCTGGCTTTGTTGCTTACTAGTGTATGACTTTGGACAAATTTATTTAATTTCTTTGTGCCTTATTTTTTCACTAGACTCTTATGGGTTGCTTTCTCAGGCCTGCACAGAAATCGTCATGCCCTTTTGTACCAATGGTATTGATGACATGTTTGAACCTCATCCGTGGGACTTGAAGGCATTTTCAGATGAATGTTTTAAACAGTGGGGTGTGAAACCAAGGCCCTCCTGGATCACTTCTATGTATGGAGGCAAAAACATCAGTTCCCACACGAACATCATTTTCAGGTGAGTTATTGCTATTCCAAAGAAAAACTTTGTTGTTAGAGACATTTGTAGAATAGCTGAGAAAATAGAGCCAGGAAAAATGTTGGACAATAAAATAATATAGAATACAACCAATGGTATCTTGTTTACCTATTACTTGAAAGATAGAGGATGCTGGGAGCATTTGAGATCTTGCTTCTAGGCATGTCATCAGTTTGGCTCAAATAAACTCTTCTAAAAATTCCCTAAAAAGGAAGAGGAGGAGGAAGAGAAGGAGGAGGAGGTGGAGGAGGAGGAGGGGGGGGGAGGAGGAGAAGGAGAAGAAGGAGAAGGAGAAGGAGAAGAAAAAGAAGACAGAAAGAGGATGCAGAGTAGAGATATGATTTTACACTCTATTACCACCATGGTTAAAGGCTTAAAAACAGCACAGCAAGAAAATGAAAATATTCTTAAAAATTCCTCAGCACAAAATGAAGCATCATTTGTTCACAAGTTGCCTTACTTTTGTTACTATTGTTATTAATGGTAATAAAAATTTTTTAGTATCCATTCAACAAATACTTTTAAAGTACCCAATCTGTTCTGTTTCAGAAACTATATCAGGAACTTTAAATAAATTACCAAAATTTGAACCCTTACAACAATCTTGTGAAGTAGTTGCTATAGTTCCTTTTTCCTGAGGAGGAAAGTGAGGGTCACTGTGTTCAGTCACTTGCTAAAGTTCATCCAGCTTTATTTTAGTTACTAATAAAACCAGATTTCAACCTTGGCCTTATTGACCACAAAAATCCCTTTTGTTCGTCTACATAGTACTGCTCTTATGGTGACATATGTGGTATTGGTTCACATCAGAGTTATTTGAGTAGACTCTGAGTGTATCTGATTGGCACTTCAAAATTTCCTTGTTTTGGCTTGTACATCAGGCTGACAGCTATTAAGAATAGCAACTAGTTAATAAAAAATGTATTTCCAAATCGATATGGAAATAGTAGAGAGATACCTATACACATCTCTTAACCTGGAGCTATTGTATAAGTACAAATGTCATTCTTTTACAAGCTTTTATAGACAGAGTTAAATTTGATCTTCGGGACATGCTCAATAGCTTTTAGGAATAAGGAGTGCTGTTTTGACCAAAGGATCACTGCTTGGGTTTAGGCCCATAACACTGCTCACTTTGCAATCTAGTTTATTGGGTTGATGCTATTTTCTGATCCAGCAGAGTACCTACCCAAAATAAAAGGTGAAACACTTGAATGGAAAACTTAAAGATTCTTTTTGTTTAATTTCCTTAAGTTGTGTTCCTTGTGCTCAATAGGATTCTTCACAGCTATAGTCTTTGGCTCAGCCTTATAAAAGTGGCATTTGTACAAATAAATCTATTTAGAGCATTTAAGGAAATGGTGCCAAATTCGGGTGTTTGAAATTAGGGAAATGTAAAAGGACTGAGAGGACTGAAGAAAGTTTAAGTACAAACCTAGGGTCTCCAAGCTTATCTTTGTTCCTCAGAGGAGAAAGTACTTTGTCAATTTTTTTGTTTTTCTTTAGGAGCTAATCTCTATGTAGTATTTACATGGATTTCTCTTGTATGCTAACATTCCGAGGTCACCCTTCCTTGCTTTGACCTTACAAAGCTGAAGTTCAAGTTGAATTATAAAGTGGAGTCTGTATGAACATTTTAATATATGAGTTTTGTTCAAATACATTTTCCTTCTTTATTGGGTTCAACTATTACAGATATGTATTTTAGTTATCCATTTGTCCTGTTATATTATTTTCTTCAGGCCATCAAAATAACAATCATCATCATCATCATCACTGGGAGGGGGATAGATTTTTTGTGAGAAAAATTTGGGCGAAAGAACTGAAACACATAGGTGGAAATTATAAAACTTTTAGTTCAGTATAAGAAAGGACTTTCTAACAGTTCATTATAAAAACAGACTTTCTGCCCCCATGAGATTGTGAACTTCTTAATGGCAGAGACTGTCTTGATCATCTCTGTGCCTTTAGCACCTGCTACTGGGACTGGCACATAATGAATGTGCAGTAAGTGTATTGATGATGAGGAATGGCATATGAAGCTCAGGAAGGCTTCAGAGGCATGTGCAAGTTTAAAAGCAGGACTGTGTGAAGATGCTGGTATATCTTTCTGCCATGGCAAGTCTACGTTTAAAAGAAATATTTTTCCATATGTTGCTAGGTGAAAAATCCAGTGCAAAAAAATTTAGGTTATTTAAAAATTCAGAATTCTCCTGTTTTTCTGAAGGAAGCACATTCCCAAAGTAAAGGAGCAGCCTTGAGTGTCTCTGTTCTGTGTACTTCGTGGCTACCAGCTAGGAAACATTTCTGGTCAATGAGTGAGAAAATGTCCAAGGAACCATGTGAAAATATCTTTATGTTCATGCTTCTCTCCTCAGGTTGCCTCACACAAATCCAAGCATGACTGCTTCTCTGATTGGAAAGTTCAGTCTGTATTTGTTGGATTGATGATTTGCAGGTTAAGAGCTTGGGCTTTGAAGTCAGAGAGACCTGGGTGCTATTTTTCCTTTTTCACCAAGTTAGCTGTCTAGCCTCAGGCAGATTGCTGATTTATATTATTAGAAAACTGGTGCATGAATTTGTGCACATTGAAAGGAAATTAATTAGAAGAAATATTTTGGAGGCCAGGGAGGGACCGCGGGAGGGCTCCAGGGCGTGTCCAGCCCATCTTACCCAGTCCTGATCGGCCAGACCCCAGTAGCAAGCTAACCTACCAGTTGGAGCATCTGCCCTCTGGTGGTCAGTGTGTGTCATAGTGACTGGTCGAATAGTCGGCCGACCAGTTGACCAATCATTAGGACACTTAGCATATTAGGCTTTTATATATAGAGAGAGTGACTTCCTGACAGGTTTATTTCAGGGAGTAGGTAGACTGTTATGGAAGGGGGCACTGTGAGGGCAGAGATTTTTGTCTGTTCACTGCTGAATTCCCTATGCCCAGTCAGTGCCTGCCACAGAGTAGGTACTCCATAAACATTTGCTGAATGAACGAAGACTCAAGAAATAGTAGCTATTAATGGTTTCATTTCAGCAGTTTTTTTCCATAGTGGTTTTGTTGGAAGGATTAATTTTCCCCCCATCCTTAATTGGTAAGAAATTATGTTACCCCAATGGTCATTCTCAGTTATTTAAATATAAATCTGAAAGGGAATTCCTGAGAAGCTGATTAGTTTAACATAATTTTTCAGGCAAATTAATTGTTGCTAGCAATTAAGTGAGGCTCACTGTTGGAAATTTTATCCAGGCAATTAGATTTTCTCATGAAAGCTATTATTACTTTTTTTTCTTTGTAAATTTCCCAGTGACTGGTTTAGCTTTCTCATGTCTAGGACCAAGAAATTCAAGTCCATGTGCATCTTAGGTCGCTCAGCAACTCCAAACAATGTTGCTAAGTCACTAGGCTGATTCAGATGACCTTTTAAATCAAATGCAGTTTGCTTATTATGTGGCTGTTAGGATGGCTTTTTGTTTTGCAGATAATGGAGAGTTTCCTAATCGGGTTGGTCCTGTCAAATTGAAATAATGATAAAGGCTATTTGTTCACTCAAGAGAATCTAACCCCTTGTGTAGTTTACTTTAAAAATATATTTGGTAGTTGAAAACTAAGGATCCTATTTTGCATGTGAGTTTTGCCTTTTGTTTTTAATAAAACCAAAAAAATACATTTTTGGATTGATTCTCCCCCCCCCCTCCCCCAGTATGATGTTATTAAGTTGAAATCAAAATTTCTTTTTCTTAAGAAAAGTGAAAATTTGTGGTGAGAATTTAAAGTTGCATTTCAAACACATATATATTTAATGTACCTAACTGCATATTTTTCATTTAATTTGTACATTTGCCTAGAAAAAACTGATTGCATTAGTTTTCTGACCCAATTTCTATGAGAAATGGTTTCACGTTCCTTTTCATGATTCATATACTTCTCAGAAGTAGTAACACTCTCAGGCTACAAAATATGATAATAATTATAATGCTGCACATTTATGTGGTATTTTATAATTTATAACTTTCATATATAATATTTAACTTGGACCCTACAATATCTCTATGAGGGAGGGACATTATCTTTAAAAATTTTTTTGGGGGGGGTAATGCATGTTGGAATTGAGGGTCATAGGGGTCAGATGACTTACCCCAAATCATGTGGCTAATAAGGGTATAAAAACTTAGACCTGCTGACTTAGTTAATTATTCTTGCCACTGCTGCACACAGGTGAAGTCAGTCTCTATATTTATATTAATCACTTATATTAACTCTGCTTTGTCATGTAAAAAGTACTGAAGTGATTTACATGTTCCTGACCTTGTATACATGTATTTATAGATCTTTTTTGATTAGGGCATCTGGTATCTGGCCAAAGACAACTAGACATTCACATTCTTTTTTCATTCATTTAGTAAACATTCGCATGGCTCCTATGAGTACCAGATGCTGAAGCTACTGTAATAAACAAAGCAGACAAAAATTCCTGCCCTTGGGCAGTTCTAGTTTGAGAGATAGATAATAAACAAAATAGCACCTGTAAGTATGTTAGGAGATACATGCTAAGGAGGAAAAATAAACCAGGGAAGAGGGCTGTGAAATGGGGGTATAAGAGAGGCAGGTTTGAAATTTTAGATGGAAATGAGCAAGGAAGACTTGACCAGGGGTGACTTTTGGAAAATGATCTGGCAGGAGTACCTAGATAGCTATGAGTGTGGTGGGGTAGGAACACTCCACAAAGAGGAATTAGCAAGGGCAAAGGCCCTGAGAGGTAAATGTGCTCAGCATGTTCTCCTCCAGGGACAGGAAGGTCAGTGTGGCTGGAGTAGTTAATGAGAGACTTGTAGGTCCTAGTAAGGTCTTTGATTTTTACTTTGAATGAGATGGGAAAACTTGGAATGTTTTGAGCAAAGGAGTGACATAATCTGATTCAGGTTTTAATAGGATCAAATTTAATAGGATCAAAGCCACAATAAGATTCATTTCCTACCCTACCGATAGTAGGGAGATAAGAGTAGTGAGAAAGGTCAGTAAAAGGCTAGTCAGGCTAGAGGTAATGGAGACTTGGATCAGAGTGGTGACAGTGAATATGGTGAGAGGTCTTGAAATTCTGGATATATTTGAATATATAGTTGACAAGATTTGTTGACAGATTGGGTGAGAAATAAATAGATTAAAGAGTGACACCAACTTTTTTGGCCTGAGCAACTAGGACAAGGTGCCATTGACAGAGATGAAAGAACATACATAAAAATGTCCTGTTATTTCAAGTCATAGGGAGATAAAGATTTTCCAAGAGGTGCCATATAAGGGGAAAGTGATCTAATACCTACAATGCCATGGACCAGATACATAAATCCAGGTATTTCGGTCCCTATTTTATATTGAGAATAAGCTTCCATGAGATTAGGAAGATGAGAGGCTGACTTGGGACTGGAACCCAGGTGTGTCTGATCCCAAAGTTCATGCTCTTTTTACTGTGCACCACACAAGTCAAGAAGGTATGTGCTGCTGATTTCCAACAGCAGTCACATGTCCGTGAAATGTAATGTAGTATAAAACAAAGTACTGGACTAGGGCTATAAAAACTATGCTTGTATATCAGATTTGCCATTGCTAGCTGAATGAGTTGGGTGTTAGTTTTCTTACCTATAAAAGAATTATCATTAAACCTACCTCACAAGATTGTTATAAGGGTCAAATGTGAAAGACTTTGTAAACTCTAAACCAGTCTATACATGTGTGGAGTTAATAATAACAGGGAGCAATTAGGTTTACAATAATGTCAAGAATGAAATATTTAGGAATAAGCTTAACAGAAAAAGTGTGACATGTATATTCTGAAAACTACAAAAAAATTGTTGGAAGAAATTAAAGGTCTAAATAATGGAAAGACATTTCATATACTTATGGAAGAAGTAATATTGCTAAGATGTCAGTACTCCACAAACTGATTTTTAGATTCAGTAATCCCTACAAAGATCCCAGCTGTTTCTTTTTTCAGAAATTGACAAGCTCGCATTCAAATGTATATAAAAAATGCAAGGGACCTAGAATAGCCAAAACAATCTTGTAAAGGAAAAACAAATATGAAGAACTCATACTTTCTGGTTTCAAAGTTGTTATAAAGCAACTATAATCAATACAGTGTGACACTTGCATAAAGATAGACATATAGACCAGTGGAAGATAATTGATAATCCAGAAGTCAACCTTTATATATATGGTCACTTGATTTTCAGACAAGAATGCCAATATAGTTCATTGGGGAAAGAATAGGCTTTTCAAGAAATGGCGCTGGGAAAACTGGATATTCACATGCAAAACAATGAAGTTGGATCCCTATTTTGTACCATATCAAAATATTAACTCAGAATGGATCAAATGATTTAATTGATGACCCAGTTTAAAAATTGGGAAGTGCAAATCAAAGCCACAATAAGATTCATTTCCTACCCACATAAGATGGCTGTAATTAGAGGATGAGGAGATAGGTGAAAAAGGTGAAGGGAAGTATAGTCAATAAAACTATTGTGATAAGTTTGCACGGTGATAGGTGATTACCAGAATGAGTGAGGTGATCACTTTGAAAGGTATAGAATGTTGAATTGCTATATGTACACCTGAAACTTATATAACTAATGTAATATTGTATACCAACTATAGTTAAGTTTAAAAAAGTAAAAAACAAAAACATAAGTGTTGGCAAGGGTATAAAAAAGTTGGAACCCTCATATGTTGCTAATGGGAAATGTAAAATGGTGCAGTCACTTTGGAAAACAGTTAGGCAGTTCTTCACAAGGTTAAGTCACCATATATTCCAGAAATTCCATACTTAGGTCAGTCTGTACCCAAGAGAAATGAAAACATGTATCCATGCAAAAACTTGTATATGAATGTTCATTGGAAAATATACACAATAGAAAAAAAAGTGGGAACAACACAAATGTACATCGGATGAATGGATAAATAAAATGTGGCATATTCATACAATGGAATATTATTTGGCAATAAAAAGGAATAATGTACTGATACATACTGCAACATAGATGAAACCTGAAAACATTATGCCACAGTGAAAGAAGCCAATCATAAAAGACCACCTATTATATAATTCCATTTACTAGTATATGAAATGTCCATATTAGACAAATCCATAGATACAAAGAGTAGGTTAGTGGTTGCCTGTAGCTGAGTGAGGGAGTTTGGGGGAGGGGAATGGGGATTATGAGTTACCAATAGCTAATAATGGGTTTCTTTTCAGGATGAAAATGTTCTAAAATTGTGATAATGATTACAAAACTCTGAATATACTAAAAACCATTGAATTCTACATTTAAATGGGTAACTTGTGGTGAAATATATCTCAACAAAGCTGTGAAATATTATTAGGGATGCTGTCTGTGATTGTATTGGATTTTTACTGAGCTAAACTAAATAGCCTGCTTCAAGGATTGATCCTGTTTACAGTGAAAAGTGTTGTATGAACCAGCCAAGATGAATAACTTAATAGCATTTCTGTAGCTTTAAAGCCAATGTAAAATGGGAGTCTTTGAATAATGACCAAATTTTCTGCTTCAGATTTGGAGGAAATTTTTCAGTTCAATCACCCTATTTCCTAAAGTACTGTATTACAAAGAAAGTAGTGTATGAAAAATGAAGGGTTGGTTTTTTTTAAGAGCTAAAAGAAAATTATCATTTCAAATATGAGAGTTTTTATTTATCACTTTCATAGTTGGCTCCTAGGAAAGTGGCATTAATTGAGGAACTGCAATGTGCCTGACACTTGTGCTTATTAAATATACCCACAGTACTATCTTGTTTAACCCATACAACAACCTTATGAGATAGGCCTTGTTATCTCTCTTTTATAGAGGAGGAAGGTCATATGGCTTTTGAGTGATGAAGCTGGGATTGGAATTTAGGTTTTTAAATTCCACTTTCCAGTACAACCTGGGTTGACTCATGGGGTACCACCTTCATTCTTTGGTCCTATTTCTTTCCTTAAAAAATTATATATATATAAATAATTGATGTCAGAGAGGAAGGGAGGAGAGAGAAATAGAAACATTAATGATGAGAGAGAATCATTGGAATCTTTGATGGCTGCCTCCTGTACATCCTCCAGTGGGGATCGAGCCTGCAACCTGGGCATATGCCTTGACTAGTAATCGAACCATGACCTCCTGGTTCACAGGTTGACACTCAACTACTAAGCCGTGCCTGCTGGGCTGGTCCTATTTTTTGTACTTGGTTTTAGAAATATTGTAGAACTCCAGTATGAATCACATTTCTATAGATAGATTCAATCAGATCAAATCCCCCATTTATATATAAGCTTGTAATTTTAGTTATTGTGCATAAAGTAGGTTTCTTCTATCTTATCTGGATATAGGTATGAAAAACTAACAATCTTATTTTTTCTTCTTTCCCTCGCATAGCAATGGTGATCTAGACCCCTGGTCAGGAGGTGGAGTAACCAAGAACATCACAAACACCTTGGTTGCCATCATTATCCCAGAGGGGGCCCATCATCTAGATCTCCGAGCCAACAATGCCTTTGACCCTATGACTGTGCTATTAGCCCGCACCTTGGAAGTTAAATACATGAAGCAGTGGATTAGAGATTTCTATGCCTCTCCGAGGAAGAAGCACTGAGCAACTTTTGATCATTTTCAGTTTCTTTTATGTTCATTCCACCCACATTCCCATTCATTTTGGTTTTCTACGCATATCTACTTTCCCTTTTTTATCATTAGATTTGGTGGGGCAAAAATTTGAGATAGAAGAGAGGGTGATGGTGGTGACAGCAGCCACCCCACACCCCAGGTTCTAGCCATCTTTGCACCTCACCTCTTCCAGGAAGAATTTTTTTGTGACAGCTGTCCCTCACTATCAGTGGCCCTCATAACTGGAGCAGAGTTCCTGACTGCCTTTCACAAGAGTTAGAGTCAGTTCCTTTGTTTCTCTGCAAGAAGGGATTTCTTTTGCTTTTGAGACAAGTCTCTGGCTCATTTATTATTCCACACCCCTGCCCTCCCAAAAGAGAAAGCAGAAAATAGATAAAAATGATGTAATTGCAGCTGATAGGAAGGGTGTCCGATGCCAATCCAGGATATAGGAGCTGTTTCTTTTGTACTTGATTTACAGGCTTTGAACTGTGCTGTAAATAAAGAATAAGGCTGGACCTTATACCTGTGTGTTGCTCCTTAAGCTCATTCCAGCTGTGGGGAATGCTGTGTGCACTGGGCTTGGCTGTTTTTGGAAAGTCCTTTAATTTTCTCTTTTCCATTTGGCAGCTCTTCTTAGTTCTGGGATATTTGCCACTGTGGTACTGCCAGTAAGAAATCTGGCCCGTTTCTGCTCCATTTCTCTTTGTTCCTAAGGTCAGTTTTGTGGTAATTTGGTTCCATGTTGCCAGTTTAGGAAAATAACTCTGTTTTGCTTCATTTTACATCAGAGCAAGCTTTTATATGCTATGGTCACTGATGATACTTCAGTAAGAAGCCTTTAAAAATTGATTAATCAGCTATTCAGAAGGTAGAATGTAGTGATGTTCAGCATTTTTTAAAATTGTATTTTCTGGTAGTCGTTGCAGCTGCCATTCAAGCCAGAAGTGTCAGGACACTAAGAAGCAGGTGCACGAGAACTTTTCTGTATGGCATGCAAAAGACAAGCTGACTAATTCATGCGGGCAGCATATTTGACATTAATAAATGGCCAAGCCGTTACTACTGCCAAAGGGTTGGCTTCTTTCAAGCAGTTCTTACACTGAAACCTTTCTTCAGAAGAGCTTTTCTAGGATAACAAATAGTGTTGGATCAAAACCTTTTAGGGACACAGAGAGAGAGAGACGAACAGTTTCTACTGTTGAAAGAGTTCTTCCCCCTTGTTTCTTTTTATTTTTCCTCAAAACATTTTTTTCTTCACCTTGCCTTGAGAGCATTTTCTGCTTTTTAAAAACTGTGCCTTGATCATTTCTAAAGTACTTATTTTTTAAAAGAATGCATGTATAAAGTTTAATTCTTGGGTGAGGGATTGAAATATTTCCCTTATTTTCTCTGGCATCCGGGAGATACAGAAAAATCTTTGTCTGGTTTCAGAAGCCTTCAGTTCTCATTGTAATGAGTTGTCCATCAAAGCATTTGGTCACTACTTTCATTTCAACATCAGAGAAAAGTCTGCTGATGTGGGAATTTAAGAGTCAAAACAATACTAGTTTCTAGTTCTTACTCTTTGTCAACTCACAAGTTATATAATGCAAGGTTTATGGGCTTTCTAGATGATATTCTTACTATTTATTTTAGGATACTGTTGATTTTAGGGTGTTTTCCTCGAAACCTTTTTACTTGTTTAAAATCTTTAAAATACTTTGCCACTTCATATCATATTAATTCTTTGGGTGAATCGAATTTTTGTAAAGAAAATAATTGCCAAAAAAGAGACTACTTTTCTGCAAGTATAATTTGGTCTTCTGTACGTGGTTGTTTTTTTTTTTTTCTATGTACATTTCATGACAGATGGCAACCATAATTAAAGTTAGCCTAATTAGAATATGCTGAAATTTACTTTTAAATTGAAAAAGAATTAGAACATCAAATAAACCTTATTTAAAGCATCCCTCTAATTAATAGATGATGCTTTTGAAAGACCAGGAAAGAGAGACAAAGAGAGATGGGGTGGTTTTTATTTTGTTTTTGTTACTTTAACTACATAGAGTCAATGGTTAAAACTAAGGAAAATTAAGGATCTTTCTTAAGGGTTCTGTATAATCAAGAGATTATCCAGAGGAGGCAATGTCTAGTCTAGCGTATTAGCAAAGGCACTTCAGATCCTCAGTCCAATTCCATCATTTGTAGGTAGATGGCATTGTTGCACAGAGAGAAATAACTTGTATAAGGTCTCACAGCTCATCTTTGGCGACACTAGGCCGCCTTGAATGCAGGTTGGTTTGTTGTTTTCATTTTATTGGTGTAAGTTAACCTTTGGATTCAAAAAATAAAACCTCACCAGTTTAAGCAAAAGAGGGAATTTATTGAAACCGCAGGAATAGCTCCAGGACTTGGGTAATTAGGAATCACGAGGGAATTTAACTGGGGTCTTGAAAGTCATTAAAAGTCAAGACTGCTATTTCTCTCTCTCTCTCTCACTTGGAACAGAGGTCACCAGTTTTCAGCCTGTGGGGGAGATGTGCTCCTCAGATGTTTAGTTTGGCTAGCAGGCTAAAGCGTGCATGTGCATCAGAGTTACCTGGAGGGCTCCCTAAAACAGTGATTGATAAGCCCCACCCCAGAGTTTGTAGTGAATAAGTCTTAGAGTGGGTCTTCGCAAGTTGCATTTCTAACAATTCCCCAGGTAATGCTGAGTGTTGGGTCACACTTTGAAAATTACTGGTTGAAAGAATTCTGAATTCCAGTTTCTTCAAACAGAGCATGCCCCTTTAGTTCACCTCACTCCTGTTGTTCTGCCTGATCCCATTTGAGTATGGGAGCCCTGCTCATCATTTCTCTTCCCATTGCTGCTCCAGTCTCTCTGCAGACCAATTTCTTCTTCTTTGCTTGCACAGGGCCCATGGTGACTTCCCAAAATGGTATCCTCAGGTACGAGAGGCTACACCACCTCACAAGCCCACAAGTCTCAGGTGGTTAGGAAGGGGCAAGGTCATAAAAACATGGCATTAGAGACACTATTTGGGATGAAAGGGAAGAAGTTCAGTCAACTCAGTATGTATCTATCACACAGTGTTTCTGGGAACACAGGCATCCAACAAAATGCCAATGACTTGTGTAGTAGAAAGATCCCTAATTAAGCAAGTTTGGAAAATAATGGGTTAAACAAAATTAAATAGTTGGGTTTTTTAAATCTGTAAATATGTATTATAATTCTCCAAAATGATAATTGAGAATGTAACTTTTCCTACTTTTTAAATTTACTTATGTACCCCAGGCATGAAATAGCTCTGGTCACAAATACAGGCATCAAGCTAGGATGAACAAAGACTGTAGTCTGCTTTGCCCCTGACAGATATAATAGAAGCACCACCAATCATGTGTCTTCTTGCCCATTGCCAAGGGGTTTGTTTTACTCTTATTTACAGAGCTACAAGGCATATGGCATTGTTCTAGAACCTGGAAAATTCAATGGTAAAAAAAGTAAGCACAATACAGTAGAACCTAGGTTCTTGAACTTAATTTATTCCAGAAGGTTGTTCAAGAAGCAATTTGTTCAAGAACGGAATCATTTTTTTCTCATTAGAAATAATGTAAATGGAATTAATCTGTTCCAGACCCCCAAATGATTCCCTGTTTTAACCTTTCTTAATTACCCGTGGTTGCTGTTTCATGAGCACTTTCACACCCTTAGCAACATCAGCACTCTTGATGGACTCTTTATGTTTTAAAATTGTGCTAATAGCCATGCCATACTCAGTAGCCAGATCAGACATGCAAACAACTTTATCATGCTTTGCAATTATTTCTTTTTAAAGCTCTATCATTGTTCTCACAACTTTCCCTTTCACTTTGTTGCTATCACTAACCTTCTTAGGATCCATGGTGACTTACTGGTATGTATTTATTAATAACTAGAGGCCCGGTGCACAAAAATTTGTGCACTGGGGGGGGGTCCCCTCAGCCCAGCCTGTGCCCTCTCGCAGTCTGGGACCCCTCGGGGGATGACCACCTGCTGGCTTAGGCCTGCTCCTCAGGGGATTGGGCCTAAGCTGGCAATCAGACATCCCTCTGACAGCCCGGCAGCCCTTGGGGGATGTCCACTTGCCAGCGGGGAGCGGACCTAAGCTGCAGTCGGACATCCTTAGCGCTGCTGAGGAGGTGGGAGAGGCTCCCACCACCACCGCTGTACTGGCAGCCATCAGCCTGGCTTGTGGCTGAGCAGAGCTCCTCCATGTGGGAGCTCACTGACCACCAGAGGGCAGCTCCTGCATTGAGCGTCTGCCCCTCTGGTGGTCAGTGTGTGTCATAATGACCAGTCATTCCCAGTCTTTCTTCTGTTAGGGTCAGTTTGCATATTACCCTTTTACTATATAGGATAGAGGCCTGGTGCACAGGTGGGGGCCGGCTGGTTTGCCCTAAAGGGTGGCCCGGATCAGGGTGGGGGTCCCGCTGGGGTGCCTAGCCAGCCTAGGTGAGGGGCTGATGGCTGTTTGCAGCTGGTCACACCCCCTTCAGGGTGGGGGTCCCCACTGGGGTGCCTGGCCAGCCTGGATGAGGGGCTGAGGGCTGTTTTCAGGCTGGCCAAGCTGGCGACTGAAGCTCCCAGCCTCTCCTTTTTTTCTTTTTTTCTTTTTTTTTATTCTGGGATTTATTTACCTTCTATAATTGAAACTTCATTGCCGCTCCAGCTCTGAGACCATGGCCTGCTGAAAGCAGGTATCTGGGGTTTGTTTAGCTTCTAAAATTGCAACTTTGTTGCTTAGAGTGGAGCTCAGAGCCCAGCCGTGGCAGGGAGGAAGTGTGGCTTCCTCCATCACTGGAGCAAGAAAGCCTCCTGCTTGCTTCAGCTGCGTGGCTGCCAGCCCCCATCTTGGTTGGGTTTATTTGCATATCCTGCTGATTAGCCAATGGGAAGTGTAGCGGAGGTATAGTCAATTACCATGTTTGTCTATTAGATAGGATAAGCAGCAACAAAAGCAAAAACAATGAAAATATTCACAGCACAATTTCCTGAAATATTAACAATAGGAGGTTTAGTGGTAAACTGACTCATACTAGCTCATTTTCTCCTTTGTCACCTGAGAGACAGGTGACTAATCATACAGCTATAAGCATGAAAAGGTTGTTAGGTTGAGAACCAAATTTTGTTCAATAACCGAGACATGCCTGCCCCCGCCTCCCCCCCCTCCACACACACAACTTGGTTGAGAACTGAATTGTTCAAGATGGGAGACATTGGAGAACTGAGGTTTGATGGTATCTATCTTAATAAAGTTTACATTCTCCTGGGAGAAAGATACAAAGTGTCAAATTATACACTGAATTGCTATAATTATGTGCTATGAAGAATGAGGGCTCTTAAGGTATTTACCAGGGAATCTGAGTTAGTCCGTGGGATGGGAATAGGACTTCTTTTTTGAGATGTGATGTCTTAGCTGTTATCTAAATGATGAATGGGAGCTAACTAGGAAGAGAAGTGGAGAAAACAGCATGTGCAAAATTCTGAGTGTAGCATATTCA